TCGTATCGGTTTGAAAAAATTGGTATCGTTGCATCCCTACTAAGAAACATGTACAGTATATAGTTCTATTGTAACGAATGGAAATGAGAGTCAAAATAATGAAAATTAAGTTCAAAGATGTAAAAGAAACCTCTAAAGATTTTACTGCAGAAGATGATTTCAGTATTTTTACATAATAAGTGCAGGTTATTCAGTTGCTGTTTCTATTTAAGCATTAAAATTCGTACGCTTCTATTTCCTTCCAACATTTGAAGGTTTGACCTCTTGGCCAACGGTGGAGCATCACTGACGCTGAGCTACGAACGAGCTCCCTTCCCCGCATTGCACCGAACAGTGTGGCTGCCCTGGAACGTCTTTCATGTGATGGACACGGTGGTGATGAAGCGGGAAGAGAACGACATCCCCAGCTGTTACCTGACGGGCCTAGTCAGGCCCAACCCCGTCATCCTGGCCACACCCCTTTCCACTCTTTACAAGACCTCCCCAGAGGACAGTCCTATCATCCCAGAAACCCAGGTGAGATCCATGTCATAGAGGGGCATTGTATGGTGGTCAGTCCTAGATTTATTGGTATGACGCATTGGTTTGAATGAGCTGTGTTTGAGTCCAGTATTACAGGCAGCAATGCTGAAAACACACAAGCACAGAGTAACAATAATGCTGTTATCTTCCTTTCACCATGGCTTTCTTCCCTTTTTTAAACTGCGTCAGATTTGCCTTACACGTTGCCTTTGGGCTTTGATTGAACCGAGGCATCTCCACTAAGCCATAAATTGTCTCATAGCAACACTGATAAATTCTAAGGGTGCATTGCATGGAGGTTACATGCCTCAGGATTTGGTTTGTTTCCATTTGGCACAAATCTATGTTGAAAATCCTTAAATGTAGAAGTTGACTCTGCAGCTTTTGCTGTTTTTACTGTTTGGAACAAATTGTGTCTGCGTTACATCAGAGGGAAATCAAAATCATTGGACATGCTTCAACATAAGTGTAGTGTCGGTATGTGAGGCAACCAGGAACCAGGACGAAAACGAAAAAAATAAGAATGACTTCTGTCGATTATTAGTTGAGATGTTCAAGTATTTTTTTTTTCCTGAGACTTTTAATAATGAAGAATTCATTTACTGCCTGTGGAGCTCAATTTGCATTTAGAAGATTGCAGTTTGTGGCTGGCATAAGTAAAAACTCTTCTTTAAATAGTTTGGCTTCCTAAAAAGTTCATCATGTTTGACTTCTTAGAATAAAATGTATGCATGTCCAGCAACAAACAAGGTTTTTCTGAGATGAAATTCATTTTAATGTGACCTGGATAATAAATTGTATGATTGTTATCCTGCATTTGAACCTATTCTCATTAAATACATACGTTTGTTCCGCCTATTAACTCTGTTACTTAAGTCTACTCCATGCTGTGGCTTTGGCACTGTTCTGACTGCTAATTAAATCTTAGGTCCTTCATGAGCAAGTGGCCATACCAGGCAGTGACCTCAACCTGGTCTACCTGAGCTCCAGGGCAGCTGGCTACAAGCCCATCCTCAAGGTGCTCCTGACCCAGGACCGTCTCCCCTTTGGCCTGATGAAAGTCCACCTGATGGTGGCCATCATGGGCCGTCAGTTCCAGAAGTCTTTTCCTGCCTTCCCCGACCTTTCTTACACTTTCATCTGGGATAAAACAGACGCCTACAATCAGAAGGTCTTTGGCCTGGCGGAGGCTGTGGGTGAGTTCCTGCTGTGAAGCTGCCTACTGAAGATGTTGTGTAAGCATAAGTTCACCGCCAGATACTTGTGCTACCTTCAGGCAGTGAACCTTAGTTGAACTTTTAAAGATTGATTTTACTTTTTTTAAATTGAGGGTTATTTAGCTGGGGACTGCTTTTGTTATCATGCGCAATAAAGATTTAGCAGGTGGTGTGAAATCCCGAAATCCCCCTGTGCTGCATTTTTGAAGGCCATTGCTCTTTTGCTGACTTCTTTGTTTTGCATGTATGATATTTCAGCAGCTGTGCACTTACTGAAATATTGCCTCTGAGGCAGAGGCCTGGAAAAAAAGGGGGGGAAAAACAGCCAAGGGTCAATAGTCAGAAATACTGATGAAAAAATAAAGTGACAGAATCTTTTCATGCAGAATATTTTGATTATTATAACTGGTTAACTGAACATACTTATTTATATACTCCTTTTGGCTTGGTCTTACATCTAGTAGCACTTGCATCATCACAGTTTACTGATAAAATATTCAAAGCCCAACATGGACTGAGAGTTCAGAGAATTTTGCAGCATTTGTGATTTTTCCTAAAATATGCTCCGTCTGAACTTTGATCATTTCAATATTTCTTGCCACCTTATATTTGGATTATTTGGAATTGTGGTTTATTTGCATTTACACAAGATAAAGCAGACAAATGAGAGGAGAATACATAAACTCCAAACAGTGCAGGCAAGACACAGAAACCCCATGGGCCTTCTAAACTCATCCCAGCTGGAGAAAATTAAACAGCCAAAGAGAAGGCAGAACCAGGAAATGCAAGAAACGGCGACGACATGTACTGAATGTCTTATAAGCTACAAGCCTCATTGCTGCTATAAGTGTCTTATAAGGAGGTTGTAACCTTGCTCACCACAGGCGTCTGCTGTCATTACTTTCAGTGTCAGTGGGATATGAATACGAGTCCTGTCTTGATGTGGTGCTCTGGGAGAAGAGGACAGCGGTGTTACAAGGCTATGAACTGGATGCCTCCAACATGGGCGGGTGGATGTTAGACAAACACCACATATTGGACATTCAGAATGGTAAGAAATCAACACGTATACAGTATGCATGTATGTCTGCAGATATAGGTAGCCTCTTTGGGTTACAGGCAGGCGGTCTTTACCCTGAATCACCGCAATAAATACTTGAATCAAAATGAAAGATGGTTCGTCATCCCATCTGCAGATAATAGAGGAGAGTTTTGAAGGGCCGATCATTCACAGTAATGACTGAATAAATCAGCGAGTAAGCCACCAGGGTGCAAGGCTCGCAACGATTCTACACCACTCAGCTATTTTAGGAAGAAGACGGCCTTTTGGCGCTCACGAAGGCTCACGCTTTTGATGAACAGGCGTCATGTTTAATTCTCGCATTAATTCAATAAACGTAATTAATTTCTCGCTCTGTCATCAATCAGATTCTCTTTAATCGGCAAGTACAATAAATGGACATGAGTTTGTCTTTGTCGAGCTGCTGCACAGTTATGAGAAAGGGGAAAGATACATAATGAAACTATCAAATATACCTACAGCAAAGTCACTGCTGGGTTACAGTACCGGGAGGTCACACTCAATAATCTGGAGATTTCAGCCAGCACACTATTAAGGGGTTTCAGTATGTTACTACTGTGGAGGCAGTAATATGACTGCAATTATAGGAAGTGTGCCTCAGGGCCTCGGGCTAGTGAGTGCATTGTCAGTTTGCCAGAGTGCTGTTTTGACATTAAACCCACTTCAGCTCACAACCGTTGTTCCAGTTGTCCAACACAATTTGTGTCCTTTTCATCTCGAAAATAGTCGAGGTCAGTCCGTAGTCTCACACTGTCCAAGTGGAGTTGGTGAATACATATTTTGTTTTCATTTGAATGGGTTTTATATTTTTGTTTGCTTTTTTTTTGGCTGATCTTGGCTCATTTGGAAGTAAAATGAAGCATTTTTAAAATCCCTTGAAAAATGGATCTGTATAGTTAACAGAGCACACATTCATATAAGATTCCTTTGTTTTGTCACGAGCAACAAGTGTATCTCAGAAAGGAAGTTACAGATTTGGTAAAGGTTTTATCACCTTCTTTTACCTAAACTAAACAGAATTGCTTTGAGGAAATGAATTGCACTTTTGCAATAAAATGCTACATTGTAGCCACAGCTGCCCTGGGGCGGCAAGCTACAATTTAGCTTGCCATCACCTGTGTGTGAATGGGTGGATGATTGTGTATAGTGTAAAGCACTTTGGGGTCCTT